TGTGAGCAAGATTCTTTGTATATGCCCTTTAATTGTCCGCCTAAATGGCTTCTGAACAATTTGTATTCACCTTTTACGGTTATCAGTTGTCAAAAAAAAAAACAAAGCAAAAGTGTCACACCCAAAAACCACACAGAATAAATATGAATCATAAACCAAACAAAAATGAGGCTATCTCCGAGAAGTTATATAGTTTCATGAGAATTTTGGGATAATAAACCACACAAAATGAGGTTATCTCGAGAAGTTTGATTGTTATCAATATGAATCAATCTTCAATCAGTGAAGAACAGCATTCAATTAAAGAAGATTTACTGTGTCAAGCAAGAACTTGACCTCCTTTTATTTTTTACTTTCAGGAATGTTGGCATCGAGATGAAAAATATTCTTCTGTTCAAAAAGAGGAATACAACTTTCCAACACATTGCTATTTTGCTAAATTCACTAATGAACTTTTCAGCTATCTTTATCGAAACCACCAAGGTGAGATTTTAATTCCCTTTTGTGTTTTTTAAAGAGATCTTTCGTTATGAACTGATCAGTACAATCTGTTACATATTATATAGATGTGACAAAATCTTTTATCGTCTCATGTTCTCTCATTCTCAATTGCTTGTACAATTGGGTTGTTCGAGTTGCTGTCTTAATCTCCGAGCTCAGCCAACAGTGTCTGTTTCGTCTTCTTCCTCGACTCTCTCTTATACTTCTTAGGGTCTAGCCGTGGTACAGCTTGTTTCTCACCCATCTTTCCCACCTTGGAGTACCTGTGTCAAAGATTCCCTGATCAATCCATATTTTGGCATGTGACCAATCTCAAGATAAAGCTTTTGGTTTCAGGAGAATCGAACATTACCTAACATCACTTTCCTTTTTGGTTCCATACTTCTTAAGTTGAGACTCCTCCTCGATTCTAATCTCATCAAGCAGTTGAAAGTAGTCAGGATACCTTTCCCAACCATCTTTCACAGCACATCCTTCTACCCCTATATGCGAGCAATCGTTGAATAAACATTTTCCGCCCTCAATCATTTTCCGTATCTAAGGAAAGAGTTAAGAAGAAACACATCATCACAATCAGTGGATATGGCGAAATGAACACAAGCGAAAAAGACGGTACAAACCTCAGGACAAACCTCAGGAAAACACAGGGGAAGTACTTGCTTTGTTACTTTAAGCAACTTATGCTTGTTAAATCCAGGAGTATCAGCAAGGTAACCGCCTCCACAAACCGGCAATAGCGATACATTTCGAGTTGTATGTTTACCTCTACCATTACTAGTTGAAACTTCCCCTACACTCTGATCTTCAAACCAATTTTTCTTCTTTTTGCCAGAATTTTCATACCACTTAATATCTAATACCTGAATATGACAAAGATCAAGTCATTGAGAATATGGTAAATGAAAAAGTTAAGCTGTAGAATGAAATAACACAAAAACCCCTTACAGGCTTAAACCCTTTTTCATTTCTCAATAAGTTGATTAAGCTCGATTTTCCAACACCACTAGGTCCAACAATCACAGAAGTCTGATTTCGCAGATTCGTTTCAACCGCGTCAAGTCCGACTCTAGTTGCCACACTGCAAAACAATGGTTCATAGTTCCATCCACGCAATCTTGTCTTCCAATATTCCAATTCCTGTAAACAAGACCATTGCCCTAATCAAAACATAAATGGATAAAACACCAAGTGGTCTCTAAAACTATGTAATTTCTTCCCAAAAATTCAGGTAATGAGACTACGATACTACCAGCTATCAGATTCCTCTTCCTTACCGCTTGAGTGACGAGTTCACATTTGTTGAGGGCAAGTGTGAGTGGAATTCCAGTGGATTCAGCTTCCACCAAGAACCTGGTGAGTGTGGATGGGTCCAGTTTCGGTTGGTCAAGAGAGAAAAGAACCAGCAAGTGATCAAGATTGGCAACCGGTGGATCAAGAATCTCCGAGCGTCGTTCAAACACATTCGTGATCATTCCTCTCTGATCAATCCAATCAATAGATCCAACGAAAACCTTATCACCAGCCAAAACTGTCCTCTGCATCTTCTTCAGAACCGCTTTCACCACGCAAACCAGCTCGATGCCGCTCTTAGACGAATCATCATCTCTAGCTACAATGACGCGCATATAGTTGGCTTGAGCGGCGGCGACGGTACCGATGGCCTCAGACTCTCCGAGTTGAGGTTTGTCGTCGAAGGAGAGAACAGGCGCAAGCAAGGCTCTGAGAAAAATCTTGCTCGGGTGGGGTATTGTAGGGACATGAGGAGGATTACTTCGTTTTGATGAGAGAAGATAGTAGCTGCGGCGGATTGTAACGCCGACTCCGCATCCGCCGTGATGGTACGCCGTGCGACGGAGGAAGGTGGCGAGAGCGGCGGAAGAAGAGTGGCGGATGATGGACGTAGTTGAAGATGACTGCATATGAAAAAATAAAGAAGAATTTCTTCGGTTCTGACTCTGAGATAGCAATGGCTGCTTTGTATCCAAAGAGTTGAAAACTTGGTTACCAAGTTCTCACATTAAGTAGTAACTTATGTATTTTTCTTAAATCAAAATTTGGTTTTTATTTTTATTTTCTTTTGTCTCGAATTTTTTCTTCGTCTAGGAAAGTAGATATCTCCGTTCTTTGATATATAAGTTCTGTCTTTCTATTCTAAGATTCATGTCTTGCTATATGGTGTCAAAGTTTTTGATCCATTTTTTTCTCATTCTAAAACTAACGCAAGTGCCACATGCTAAAGGAGTGAAAATGTGTCTGTTAATCATCGAGCCTTCATTTCACAATTCACACCTATTATTAATGGATCCGAACCGATTCGTCCTAAGAGAGATGTGTCGTGTTGACCCATACAATTCTTTTGGGACTTGGGTTTTTACGAGAGAGTCCAATGAAGACAAGAAAAGAAGAGAAGAAAAGTGGGCCTTTGGATATTGAAGCACATAAACACGGTCTTGAGCAAACTGACGTGAAAAAGCTTTATATAATGTTTCCTTTTAGGGTTTATGCTTGATAGTTCTCTTTTTCATACTCTGGTAAATTCCAAAGAACAACTCTTTTGTAAACCTTCCCTGATTTTTATTGGAGTTTGAGGACAAGAGATCCTTTATGAGATGTACATGTAGCCATTTAGAGAACTTGTTAAATATCTCGGTATTTTTTATTTTCCTGTCAAGCAAGACACCATTAGTATTGGGGATAAAATAATTTTTTTTTGAGTTAGACGAATCACCCGTCATCACATGGCGTGGTAGAGCTCTTAACATCTCGGATGAAGTTTATCGTTCAGTGATGATTCCAAAACAAGCTTTCGATCTAACCCAATCCCACAAGAGAAGAAACTCGGGCCCAAGGACTCCCGGTAGTGGATCTGGCTTTTCAGAGGAAAAGGATCCGGGGGCAGGTAAGCAAAAGACCACAATGGGGTACTTCTACCCAAAAATGAAACACGTAGCCCAAATTCTCTTCTCTAGAGCTCGGGCAAAGTAAAAAATATCTCTTTATCGCACTTAAAATAATCTTCCCCTCCCCAAATTTTTGAATTCTCAGTCAAAAGATAAAAGCAGTTTCTCTTTATGCGTGTTAGGATAAAAACAGGTTGTCCATACTACGAACAACGATTAAAGCTTAACAAAGCTTATTCCGAAGGAGAACCCGACGTCTAAATCGGCGAGCAGATGCCACAGTAGTACGAGGAGTCATATGGAGCATTGCAGAATTGTACTGTCAGAAAATTGGCATAAAAAGACTAAAATCACTCGAGTGCATAAAACTGATTCGGGCCCAAGAACCTAGACCCAAACCAGCTCCAAAACGTGGAACCCAATTTCCGAACCCAGACAGGTAATACTCTATAAATACTTCTCTATTTGACTCCACAATAAATATTGGACCTTTTTGGCTAAAAACATATATAAACAATCTTTCTCTTTCGAACTCAAGATCCATTCCCTTGAACTTTGAAACTTTTTCCGGTTATTTAGGGCCAATCTCTCAGATCTCCTCTATCCTCATTTTAGGCCATTCTTTGACCGGAGCTTCATTCACTAACTCATTTTCTCTCTTTCTCTTCCTCATGTTTCTCCACTAAATCCTCATGTGTTTTTCGAAATCTTCATTTGTTTGCTTAATGTGTAGGAGAAAATCCTCCATTAGTTGTTTTAAGGGAACTAAAACCTCCAAAACTATAAGCAACTTGTTAAGTAGAGATTATAACAAGATCTTGTTTAGGAGCTGCATGCCTTATAAGAGATAAGTTTAGACAGTATGATGATTTAAAGTATCAAAAACATATATCAAATATATAAGATAAACATACTGTTTTGTTTAATCAATTAGGTTTTCGAATAATATGAACTCATTAATCTAAAATATATAATTTTATCTTAGATTTTTGAAGGACACAACTTTTGTTTTATAATATGGTGACGCGAATTTGATAATGTATGGAAACTCTATTTGTTGACGTTTTACGCTTCAGAAACAAAATTAAAAAATTTTGGAAACGTTGCAGAAACACGATTCCAAAAATTACCAAGTATCGTGGAAGCGTCCGATTCCATTTAAAATTATAGGAATCTTCATATTGAAAACATTATGGTTTGTTTTTTCTAATCTTTTTTTTTTGTCGAAGTTTGTTTTTTCTAATTAAATTACTTAATTTCTGTATTAGATTTGTGCTCCAATTTCCAAACGATGTTTTTTATATGGTTTAATGTTAAATATTTCGTTTTATTTATATTATTATTATCATATATATACATGTTATATGCTTCCAAAACGTATTTGTTTTATAATTTTTCCAAACAAATCGATTCCGCATTTTCAAAAGTTTTGATTTCATGTACTCGTTTCCAATTCTATGTAACATAATGCATATCATAAGTTTATTTAAGAGAATTGATTCGATGATGCATTTTTTAGAGAAAAACAAAACTTTCCACCATAACACCCTAATCGAGCGTGTTTAACCTATGAATTTGTTAGGATAAACTAGAATATATACTAGAAGATAAGTATCTGTACACATTTGGCTATATAAAGAGCACAAGAAAATTGACCAACAAAAAAGGGAGAAAAAAACTCTTCATATAGTTGTAATTATGTAACAAGTATGACCCAGTCGATAAAGTTTTCATAATAGCCAACCTACCGCTAAACAAGGATGGATTATCACAAAAGAGGTGTAAGATATTTAGGATTTTCAGTATCGTTTAAAAATAGTTCACTGTTAAAAGTGTTTAATCTCAAATAATTGAAAGACTAGGGCATTCTAAAAAGTAATTTTTAATATCGACCAAGTAAAATTATAAATTTGCAACGGTGAGTCGGTGACTCTAGGATCAGTTGACAAATCTTACAAATTTTATTGAATAGTGAACTGGTCATTGCATGAATATTTTCAAATTCAAGTTAGATTTATCTATTGTCTCTGAACAAAGAAAAACAGTTGAATATTTTTGTTTAAGATTTCCAAGAAATCCAAAAGAAAAAAAAAAGAAGGAATTTTATCTAAAGTCTGAGGTGACTCACGGCCATGTAACATTTGGGATTTATTCTAACAAAACCACTGTGTTTTAAATAGTAAAGGCTAATCATAAATCAACACGAACCGTTAAAAAATGGTTTATAAATTGTCAACATCACAAGGATAAAGCAAATATTAGAAAAAAGAAATGAATCATCGCTTTCGGGTTGCCGCTTTTAGATCCATAAATAACAAATTAAGACCCTTGTTTTCATTATGGTGGGTTGTTTAAGTCAAACCTCACAAATTATTTGCTTTGTCTTACTTTTTATTTCTCTAATGGACCCAACAACTATCCTTCTTCTATGATGAACATATATTGAAAATTGTGTTACCTTTTTTCAGAATTTCATAGTTGGTGGTTTGTATAAACATACTGGAAAAGCAAGTCAAG